CGACTTGGGCATGATCAGGAAGTCGATTGATATCTCTTCCCAGGGCCTGGTGGGGATACTCATAGGTTGTAGTGGTCCCTGGGGCCTCTGGTTCGAGGACTTAGTCAGTTGGCACTGAGGACACTCCTTGACAAACTTGCGAATGTCCTCTTCCATCTTGGGCCAGTAGAAGGACCTGGACAACTTTCCGTATGTCCTGTCAACTCCTGGGTGGCCGGCGAGTGCCGAGCTGTGGTGGTCGTGTAGCAGCTTCTTGCGTAGTTGCTCCTGACTCACACACAGGCGCCATGGCTGCTCAGCATTGTTACGGTAGTACAGTAGGCCGTCTTCAATGCAGAACCGCTGGTCGTCGTCCCCTTCTGGTTGCTCAGCCGCTGCTGATTCCCATTTGGGGCCGAAGTATTCATCCTGTGAATAGTGGTTGCGCTGGGATTCGATCTCGGAACTATCGTCGATCGGGCACAACGATTCCACTACGACACGGGACAGGGCATCTGCTACCTGGTTTGTTTGCCGGGTTTATACTGGATGTCCGGGTCAAACTCTGCCAGTTTTGTTAGCCAACGGGATTGTCTCCCGTTCAGATGCTTCATGGTTTTAAGGTACACAAGCGCCCGGTGATCCGTGAACACTGTGACCTTCTGACCATTCAGGAGGAATGGTCTCCACTTGCCTAAGGCGTGCATTAGCGCTACCAACTCCTTATCGTACACTGAGTAGTTCAGCTCATGGACATTGAGCTTCTTCGACTCATACGCACAAGGGTGGCCGTCTTGCATCAGCACTGCTCCTACAGCCTTGGCATCCTCACTGGCGTCTGTGTAGACCTCGAACTTACCGTTCGGGTCCGGTATCTTCAGGCAGGGTGCGCTAGTCAACGCCTGCTTGGCATCCTTGAACTCCTTCTCAGCTTGCTCATCCCAGCGCACTGGTCGGGAGTTTCTGTTCGCCTTGGAGGATCCGCCCTGGATGTCAAGGTTGCTACTCTCTTCGAGTAGTCCTGGATGAACTTCTTGTAGAAGTTGCACATCCCCAGGAACCGCTGCAGGTCCCTCACCGATACTGGCCTTGGGAACTCTTTCACGGCCTTGACAAGTCGGGGGTCTGTCTTCAGGACCCCTCCTCCGACGATGAAGCCTAGGAAGTTGACCTCCGGCTTCATGAACTCGCACTTCTTCGGGCTGGCGTATAGCTGCTCTTCCCGAAGGCGCTTGAACACCTCCTCCAGGTGTCGGAGATGTTCCTCCCGGGTCTTGGAGAACACCAGGATATCGTCTAGGTAGACGATCACACACTCGTCCAGGAGGTCCTTGAACACTCGGTTCATCAGACGCTGGAAGGTGGCCGGCGCGTTGGTCAGGCCGAAGGGCATCACTTTGAATTCGTAGTGCCCGTACCTTGTCCTGAACGCCGTCTTGTAGACGTCCTCAGGGCAGATCCGAATCTGATGGTACCCTGAGGTCAAGTCTAGCTTGCTGAAGTATCTAGCGTCGTAGATACGATCCAGCAGCTCATCCACTAGGGGCAGTGGGTATCGGTCCTTCACGGTCTGGTCATTGAGTCCTCTGTAGTCAATGCACATCCGTAGGGACCCGTCTTTCTTTCGAACGAACATGACGGTTCGCGTCGTTATGATGACGCCCGACGTTTGGATCTCTTCCCGCCGAACGAGTTCGGGGGAGATAAAGCTTTAACTCGTCTAATTCCTCCTTTCAGAGCCTGTATATTGGCTCTGAAAATGGTCTTGTAAGCCTTCTTTTAGGGTAAAAACATAGGTTGCCGTTGCTCCCACCCAATCCCGCGGGTAGACTCTGCC